AATAGAAACCAGCATCTGCAACATCATTTAACACAAATTTCTTTTGGCTTTACAGTAACTGCAAGCATCTCCACTTTTGTGGTGACTTTACAATTCTAATTACTTTCAATGGCTATGCAAAGCCAACACCTTGACACAGTTACATTCCTAAAAGCTCACCTCAGACTCTAGAAACAATAGCTTTCTACAATGGTTAATCCCATTTCACCTACTGAGTTTACAGAAAATTATTAAAAGGATGAAAAACCCCACTTCAAAATACCAGTTATTTCTGGAAACAAGAAGCAGATGTTCTCCTCTGTTTGGCTCAGCTGTGCTACAGTACAAGAGTGCCTTTGTTATGCTGTCAACAATCATTTATTTTATTTATTACAGCTATTTCATAATGCCTATCAATGTACTATTTGTGCATGATTTACATTCACACAGATCTATTTCTCTATATCTAAGCCATCAAGAAGCATCACATACATGCTCCAAAGAGAAGACCCTGTCATGACACAAATTAGGTTTTTTCCTCTTTCCACTAATAAAAAGGGAACAGGAAGAGAAGAAAGAATTAGTATTGCCAAATGAAGTCGAATTAACATTAATCAAGAATTACCGCAAAAAGACGAAGTCGGGAAAATACAAAAGCTGAGAGTATAAAAATAAACTCAAATTCTTTGAAGTCAAATAAAAGCAGAGCTTTCTGAGCCACGAAAGTAAACACTGTCTAGAACACAGACATGAAGAACTAAAAAGATACTATATTGGGAAGAGGTTCCATTAAAAATGGAAGAGAGTCTGCTCACAGGAGGGGAGGAGAAGGAAAGACAAAGAAAAAGGAGCACAATCATTTGCAGCTTGGCCCTATCAACCACTGAGTCTTTATCTGTGGCAGCATGAACAACAGCCCTAAAGACCAACATCAGAGTCTTTGTATGGATCTGATAAGGATTTCTGAGCCTCAAAAAAATTTAAATATTTAATGAGAGCACACACATGGTGGCATAAGCATTCATCCTTCCCTTCTACTGCTTTGAACTAAAGATTTTCTCCTGTTAAAACAGTTCCAAATTACTAATATCCCCCACCTGTGACAAGAAACACTGCACAGTAAATCCCATATTCCCAAGCAAAAACTAGGGGATCTGCATGTATAAACACTCACAGATTTACCATCACATAGGCATCTGCATAACCTTGGGAGAAAAATGCATGATTTTTTTTTTTTTAAGTATCCAACTACTGCCAGAGTTTCCTCCTCTGACAAGACAGAAGGGATGATTCGTTAGGATAATCTATCATCAAAACTAATATCTGAGAGATTACTCACAAATTCTGCACTTTCAGGCCACACCTGAGAGACAGGTACACAGATTTATTTCCAGTGTCAGCACAGGGGCACAGGCCACCAGGGAACCAGCAAGGCAGAGGTTTGACTAAACGGGACTCGCTCAAATCCCAGAGCAGCATCTGCTACAACCACGGGCATCAGTCCACTAGGAAACATTCTGGAACTCTGCCCACATGAGAAGTCACTTCCATCTCATATGAACAATACACACCTCCAGTGATGCACCAAAAGAGAGGAAAGGGAGTAAAATATTTGCCAGCCTTCAGTAGTTCCGAAACAGATTTTAAACAGAGTAATACAACAGCAATTACATTAAAAATGTATGCATAATTAATTTTTTGCTACAATACCTACAAATGCATCAAAATAATTCCCCCTGGCAAAATAAATTGAAGATTATTCAACTTCATAACACATGAAGTATCTGAGCAACAACAACTAAAAAAAAAAATCAAGTGTGTACATGCCTAATATGCATAACTTATACACTTTAACAATTAGCAAACATTGGAATGTTACCATAACACTGAAAACTTGCCCTAACACAGATTTTTCCAAACAAAAATATTTGTGTATCAGGAACTAAAACATTTACTTGAGCAAGATAGTGAGGTAAATTTCAAAATAAGTAAATTGTAAAATTTTTTTACTATCTCCCTGCTTATTTGAGTAGGTAGATTTTGTTTTAATTTTCTTAGAAATTAAAACGTTTTGTCAAGGAAAAAAACCTACAATCAAAATCATATGGATAATTGTCCTACTTGTAAACAAAATCTGGCATGTGGAGTGTTTATCTGTATTTTTCCAGAGGCTGCACAGATGACAGGAATGAAGCACCAGACCATGCTACTGATCAGCACAGCCCCAACCCTGTAATTTGTAATAGATACCCAGGTAAATTGCTCATATAAACTGCAGGATCAGAAACAGAGAGGGGGGCAGAAAAGGACTGCAAGCAATTGAAACTCTTGTGGATGAGCAGCTTTGGCTTATCACAAAATCCCAGTGGTGGCTCGGGGAATTTGAGGGGGTTCCTGTACAAAAACGCAGTCAAAGGGCAGGAGCAGCCCCGAGCAGCTGATTGCGTGTGGGAGGAACTGATGATAACTTCCCACCAGAGTAGGAGGGGAGAAATGAAGCCACACACACGTTAGTGTGTGTACAACTGGATACTTCAAGACAGGAGTCACCACATTGTTCATCCCATGCAGGGACACCCGAAATTTGGGTCTGATCCTAATGGCTGCGCTAAACAGGTTTTGGCTTCCCTGCCCCAAGTCTTGCAGCCTACAGAGGAAAGAAGACAAGTCAGGATGTTGAGAATAAATAAACTAAATAAACAAATGAATAAACAACATTGCAATTGTTTTCTCCAGTTCACTCACCACCGTATCCATCTGTCCTCACATCCCAGAGCAGATGTTGGGAAAATCCGTCAGTGTGACTGTGACAGGGGACTCCATGCTTTGTACCTGAGCAGGTAACACAGATCCAGACTGGGGACCCCCAGGTACACCCTGCTATCAGAGAAAAGCTTCTCTTTCTAAATGTATGTAAACAAAAGTATCCTAACAAAACAAAAGTGACTTGACTGTGTCTACTCAGCAACAGGGAGCAAGAACGATGGACCCAATCCCGCCAAGTTTTAAGTACATGTTTAACTTTAATCACAAGTAGTCTCACTGCACAGTATCTCTAAAATTAGCCTGCCAAAACAGGGCCAAATTAACAAGTGAATTTAGATTTTTTTTTTAATCATTTTAGCAGTACTATTACTTAGATAGCAATTTTTTCCCACAATTAAGATACCTCAGCAAATTCAAACTGCACACAACACTCATGTCACTCTTAATGGAAACCTACACAAATGCCCACAAATCCACAAGCAGTCAGCCATTGTGATATCTGACAGTTTAACACTACAAGGTTAAGCAAAATAATTATTTTAAGGTCATTTTCGCCAAAATAAGGTGACAACCATAAGGAATTCCACGATGGCTGCTGGGGGAAAAACTGGGGATGCCCAAGAGAAAAGAACAAAAAGCCCTACAGAGCCACAGAGGTTGGTACAGGATGCAGGAGCAGTGGAGAGCAGAAGTTCTGGGCCAAGCCAGATTACCTGTTCCCCACAGTCCAAGCCATGACGAGCCAGCATGGAATGCCAACTCCTGAATGACACTTCTGTGATGAACCCAGTTGCCCAACACTGCAAGCCACACTAGCTAAGGAATTTTGCTCACTGACGACTCCAGCTGAAAAGAAAGAAAGCTCTGAAGCAAGAGAGGAGTGCTAAAAGCAAGGAAAAACGAATGGATAGTGAGACTGCCTCATTATTAATTCAGAGACACAAAGAGGAATGTGCCAGATATCCCAAAGCAAGTAACCATTGGGACTGAACATCTGTATTTCACTCACTCAGCCGGCTCGAAAGGGAAGCAGGGACTCTGTCCTGCTAGGATGAACTCCGGAGCAGCCTCTGAGCAGCTCTCTAAGTAGCCTTCCATAATTAACTTATAAGGAAGACCAGGCAGGACATTCTGCTCTCCATGAAGTACCAAGGGAGAACAGATGTTTCCCAGTCTCCAAGGGAAAAATTCAAGAGTGTATCACTTCATAGCCCTAATTCTTGAGCACATACAAAAAAAAAAAAAAAAATCACAGCAAGGGAAACAAATGAAGGAAGGCAAAGGGTAAGTAAGCAAACAAACTCCAATCAAACCTTCAACAAATGCAAATGATATCAAACCTATTTCATTATTAAGTTAATGCTCCATGACATTACCATTCCCAAAAATACATGGCTGATTACAGAGTAGCTTGTGGGGAAGGGACAGAGAAGGCAGTTAATTGGAAAATGCATTTTATTGTAGCTTACTAGCCTCACACATTTCTACACTCCCACTCACTGCAGAAACATCTTTATGAAGTCTGGGCAGCATAATTAGTTTGGTTTTGTTTAAATCTGCATCACTGTACAGGTAAGCAAAGCCTTTCAGCTCCCTAACTTTTCCCATAAGTTTTGCATCACTGAAATATGCATCATTTTACTTTTCGGCGATCTACTTCTCGTTGCTCTTCTTCCTACAGCTGCCCCGGAGTACTTCATGAAGCGCCTTGTGCCTGTACCCAGCGTGTTACTGGGCGTTTAAACCACTGCTGGTCCCGAGAGGGCCAGCTCTGGAGAGAAATAAATAAATAAACGAGCTCCAGACAGAAGTTTGTGCGCCAGCCCGGTCTGTGTGCGCACCGCGGCTCCCGCGCTGTCGGAACACGGATTTACGCAAAGGAAAAGTGAGAAAGTAAATAAAAGGACCCGCTGGGAAGGAGCCGGAGCCGCCTTACCTCCGGAGTGCGCTCCGCGGGCTTTTTCCGCAGCGCCTGTTTGATCCTGGGCTCCACCGGGGCGCTCATCCTCCGGCGCGGCGCCGCGGGAGCGGCTGGCGGGGCTCCTGCCCGGGCTCCGCCGCCCTCCGGGCCCGCGGGGGACGCACCCCGAAACGTTCCCCGCGCCGGGGCCCGGGCGGGGAGCGGACCGGGGGAGGCCGGGGCGGGAGCGGGGCCGGGCGCGGTGCCCGCCGCCGGGCTGGCTGCTCACCAGGCGGGCGGCGCTCGGGGCGCCTCGGGCTCAGCGGCGGCGGCGGCGCTCGGGGCGGGCGGCGGCGGCTCCCGGCGCGGTCCCGGGGCGGCCGGCGCCGCTCCCCATCGCGGCGCGAGCGCTCCGTGCGCGAAGTTACCGGCCCGAGCGGGACTCCCCGCGCGCTCGGCCCCCGCGGCTCCGCCCTCCGCGCCCGCACAAAGCGATGCGGACGGGCGAGTTGTTCCGCGGCGCGGCGCCAGAGGGTCCGGAGAGAAACCCCACGGCCGGGTACGAGCCCGCGTCTCCCCTGAACACGCCGGGAGTCGCCGCCCCCGCCTGGACCCCCCCGCCCCGGTCACCCGCCGCGCATCCCCCGGTGTGGAAAAGCGCGAGAGCGGGCGCTTTAACCCAGAGAATCAGCAGGACGAGCGAGGGGCGGGGCGGAGGGGAGTGGGCGGGGCTGTGACGAGCTCCGCCCCCACACGCCGGGTGCGAGCAGGGGGCGGGGCCGGCGAAGGCTCGCGAGGGTTGGGAGCGGCCGGGCGCGTGCGCGGTGCGGGCCGGGCCGTGCCGCCCTCAGGAGCCGCGGGGAGAGCGGCGCGCCCCACACGGGGCGGGTTCTGCAGCAATGGGGATCGCTGTCCCTCAGCAGGCGGAACAGCAGCCCCGGCGGCATGGCACCGCTCCCCCTGAGTTTGCCTGCGGTCCCCCTTTCCCTCCCTCCGCAGCTCAGGGAATGTTGATTGTCCTCCGTGCCCCCTGAGCTGCTCCGAGCCTTTGCCTTCGGTCGCTTCTGGAGGGGCGGCCCCATCCTCGCGGTGCCCGCTGAGGCCTCTCGGGGATGGTCCCGGACTCTCCGGAGAGAGGTCGGCATTAAATACAAATAAGGAACACATCAGTAAGGAAAGCGCTACCACAGCTCCTGTGGGGTTTTACAAACTTCTCCCAAGCCCTGTGTTGCTGGCCCTGACGGCCGCTCGGGGACAACAGGAAGCGGCCACATACCAAACGCACATCGCAAGATTTTCCTTCCTGCTACAAGTCCGATTCTGTAAATTTATGAGAGCAAAGCTTTGCAGGCATACAACTTGTGTTTGTCCTTTTGCTTTTTCCTCTTTCCTTCCTAATAACCAAGGGTGGTTTTGTTCCTGCCCTTTCTCCAGCTACCCCTTCCCGTTTTCTTTATCACTTGCCCTTTATGGCACAATTACCTTTGTTGTGCTAAAGGACTTCATTGTCCTTTCCACGTTGTTTTATAATATTTCTACTGTTTTCTTCAAAAAAAAATTGAGGAAATAAGACGTTTCTCCCAGTGTAGACTGTTCTGATGCTGTGCCTGGTATCAATGCAGGCACAACAACCATGGGATGGACAGCCAGGATCTAAAGAAAAGCTACTCTTAACATCACAGTCATTACACTGCATGCATAACACAGAGAATATGAGATGCTCCCAAAACTGACAGGAAAGACACACCTATCAAAACTCATTTTCATTCTTTTTTTCCCTTCTCTTTGAACTTCTGTTGTAAGATTTCCAAATATCAGGTCTATTATTCTTCCAAAGGTCAGAAGTTTGTACTAGTTATTTGGCAGAACATGTTATCCTCTTTCAACTTCAGTACATAAAATATTGTTTCCAGTGATGTGGGAATCTGCAGAGATTTCATGCCAGGAACCAAGTGGAAAAGATTGAGAGAAAAAGTCCTCCTGAGAAACTTAAGGAGAAGAAAGGAAGAAAAGAACTGAAGCATGAATCCTTCTCTGTTAGGAGATTCTTTTTTTCTTTTATTTTTTCCTTTTTTTTTTTTTTTTTTTTTTTTAATCAGAGGTGTAATAGCAAATCAAGCGCTTTACCAGCTCAGTTTATTTTTAAAGATTGTGTAAAAATTAATCAATATTCTCCAGGTGCAGGTGGCTGGAAAAAAAAAATTAACTAACAACTAGCAAGAAAACCCCAGATTTTGGTGAGATCTACGCAGTCAGAGTTCTCATGGATTTGAAATAATTTAAGCCCTATTGGTTTTTAGAAGGGAACTCATTTTACCACCTATTCCAGGTGTTCAGCATTCCTACAATGAACATAACACAGAAGTGGACACTCACTGTGGGAATAAAGTTAGTACCCTAAAAATTCCTTTTTCTTTGACACACAAATTCCCATCCTGAACACTAGTCTACAGCCAGACACAGGAACAATGAGGGAGCCCCGAGTATTCCATGGGAACCAGAGCTGCCATTCCAAATTAATTGCTTGGCTCACCTGACCCATGAAACAAGACTTCCCTCACTAAAAGGTACCTGAATTTGGGTAGGTAATGGCTCTAATAGCTGCAATTATTTCAGGGGCTATTTCAGCCATAGGGTTTATTTTCCCAGGTATCTGGAGAACAATGGAAACGAGTGTTACGATCCTTACTGCTTACTGGTGTTACAGCCAATGTCTCCACGTGGTAAAGCTTACATGGCTAAACACAATTAAAAGGCTTTCACAAGTGAGTAATTTCAGGGCTGGGATTAAGGGAAGTGGCCAAGCAGGATGCCCGTTGTCCATGTAGAGGGGAAAATTTGCTTCCCCTTTATCTGGCTTGTATCTCTGCACAAGTAAAGCATCATCACTTACTGCAATGTTTTCAAATTGAAAATTAACAGTATCTGTATCATGTAAGAATCAGAGGTGCTTTGCTATTAATATGGATGAGTTGCAGTCTCAGGAGATTAGATGTTTCTGCTTCAAGCATCTGTGAATTTGGGAAGACCAGCTGAGTTAAGGAGTACATCTCCTCCCAGTATGTTCCCTCAATTGTTCTGCTTTGCTGACACTCCCAAAGATGCCTTTTAATGTAACGCCTTTTACCACCATGTGCACATCCCAGATTCCTCAGGGTAAAACTCAACTTCCTCACCTCTCCCACTGGGAAAGATTCATAATTATCATGCACACATTTTTAACTTTTATTTTTATGAATTCTTTGTATTTAGTGTACTGTGAGTTCTATTACAGCCTGGCAATTTCCTTCCTCTCATTCTCCTGTTAGGCAGTTGGGCTATTGGTTTTAATTTCTCAGCTTTGGGGAAAAAAAATCCCTTTGGACATTCGTGCACATCTTTGGCAACTAGCTAAGTGGTTAACATACCACAAGGAGGATACACAAATTAATTCTCTGCCTGACTAGAGGAAAACAAAATATTCTGGGATGCCCAATGGGCAGAACCTCTTCAGACAGAGGTACCTTATATACTTATTCTGATGAACTTCCTGAAAAACTGTGGAGGCAAAGGGATCATAGGAATTTTGTAAGAGTTCACCTTTTGCAGGAAAGTTACATTTTTGCAAATGGCACAACACTGCTCAGGTAGCTACATAAGAACATTGATCTCTTGGCTATGACAGCATTTTGTAGCTCAAAATTTCCATTTCTAAAAGTAAAAGTGAAATACCAAATTATTTTTGAGAAATCAAGAGCAAGAATGAAATGGTCTGAATACTGGAGCTACTTTTCCCCACTGTGCATATTTCCAGAGCTTCAGTTCAAAGGATAATGGTAAAAGTAGAAAAGAAGAAACAGAACTGTGAGATCATTATCTTTCTACTGTGTTATTATAATGTTAGCTTACTATTTAGTTTTTTAAAACTAAACCTCCATCTTTAATCTATTTAACTCAAGACTAACATGGCTTTCCTTCTAAAAAAAAAAATCTAGTACAGATTTTTCCTGAAGATCTTTCATTCCACATACAGATTTTTCCTGAAGAGAGAAGCCATGTACTCATAAGCAATTGCAGATCTCCTTGTGACAGTCAGACATTTATTTTTCAGCCTTTTTCAACAACGCAGAAACAAATGGGGAGCCTGACACCTTTTAAATCTGGGGATGGACCACCTTCTCTACTTACATTTTACCTTCAGTTGCAATCTTCCTTGCTTTTCATGTTCACTGTCACACATCTGTGATAGTCTCTATATGCTGAGTGCTGATGTGAATAGACTGGGGATTCAGTGAGCCTTTGAAAGCTTTTAAGATTATATTAACAAGCAAAGAGAGGGAATGACAAGCCCCAGCTGCTCCTAAGAGCAGCCTGAGCCATAGCTCAGCTGGAGGCAGTAATCATTTCCTAAATCTTAGTCCCAGCTGAAAGACACATCTCTCAGCTGAGGGCAATTTGTGGGGTGTTCACAGGGAAGGCTTCATGGAGGACAGGTGGAAATTCTGAAGTAACAGATATTTAGTACTTGAGATGCACAGTGTGTTGGGAACATGTCACCCTGATCTTTGTGTCACATAATCATTGGCCAGTGCTTATGGAGTCCTGGTTCTCAAGTCAGGAACAATCTGAAAAGGAAAAGTGAATTGGGGTATTTGCTATTCATTTACTAAGGTTTCTGTGAACACAAAGACAGGCATTGATGCACTCTCTGAAGGTTGCCAGTGAGGACAGTGAAAGCTGTTTGTGTTGAAAGAACACTGGCTGGCTGTGACGCTGACATGTATGTTCTCATCTCTCTCATTTCCTTCCTTGTCCGTATGGGAAACAACAGGTGTGAAGGAGGACACTCCTCTCCCTTGCCACTGCTGAGTGACTTTAAAGGGTCCATCCAGGGCCTGCCACAACCCTGATGGAGTTCTCAAGCCCTGGTGAATGTGAGTGAGTGGGATGAGGAAAAAAAGGATTCCTGCCAAATCACTGGAGCATCCAAACTGCACAGGCATGGTGTAAGTGTACGACATTATCAACAGTGTCTGACAGAATAGGAACTGAAAAAAAAAAAAAAAACCATTCAAAATAGGTACAAAATAACATTTAGACCCCAGCTACTTTGCTCTAAGCCACGAGTTGGTGGCTTGCTACACACTCCACAATGGAACAACTCTGTCTGAAACAGGCTTTTGTATCAATGTTTTTGTATGTCTTCTGCCACTTTATTTTTGCTACACACAACCTACACATATGTGATTCTAGTCCCAGCACTTTGTTGACAAAACCCAAAAGAACATATGGACCTGTCTAGATATTGGAGGTATCCAGAAACAGTATACAGATATCCATACTCAAGCCTGAAAAAAATAAAGATGGGGGTGGCGGGGGAAAACCTGCCCTGACAGCAGGCAATCTGGAGTCTAGTGACTGCTTCATTTGCATGTTCTTTGTTGCTAAAATCAGGCTACAGCTTCAACTGAAAAATTTTCTTCATTTCTCATCAGAAACATCATGCCAAAAACCATTAGAAAGTGGAAGGTGGGTAAAAGAATGGGCTGGGCACAGATTAAGATGAAGACTTAAGTAACAAAAAGAGCAATCAATCTTGGCATGGGAAACTCTCCAACAGTAATTTGGTATCAGTTATATTACTTCCATTAATTTTTCACAGATGTAAAAAGTTGTACAACTATAAACTGCAAGAAGATTTCACAAACGGTGAGGATTTTGTCTGTGACCTGTTATAACCCAGAGAGAACATGCAACGGGATTTGTATTTTTCTACTGAGTAGCTATTTTCAGAGGCAAAAAGCCAAACACTTGCATAACTCAATGTGACCATTCTGTGTATCTGTGGCATTTGTTACTGGAGAACACTTTGATCAACAATGTTGAGCTGGTAAAAGCACAAGGTATGCCTAGAGAGAGCAGCCAGTTTAAATATTATAAAAATTAGAGTAAATAGGATCTCAGTCCTTCCCCTTTTTTAGTAAATTGAGTAATTCTCCGAGCATGTGAAAAAATAATAAAAAACTTCTCTTCTGCCAAAGAACAGGCCAACGGTCTAGACTTTCTCTTAACTGGAAATCATCTAGATTAAGAAACTCTGAATAAACGCCTGACAGGCAATTTCACTGTTTTATGCAATCAAATACACTCTACTTATTTGTGAAATCCTACAAGAAATATTACAGCATTTGAATCGAGACCAAGGCTGGGAAAGACCTGCATTTCTTACCATTCTCCTGCTGCTGATGTTAGGATTCTTTGCAACCACGCATTTTACTATTGTAGCTTAGACTACAGTGACAATTCAGCCAGCATCAGGTCAGCTTTCAGCTTTGTTTGCAGACATTTGATGTGTTTGTAGGAAGATACATGTCTCTGTGTTTGTGTTTTTGTGCCTGTGTATAAACTATAATTTGATTACGAATAAATGTTGCACAGTTTAGTAGAATCAGGCCAGGTCTGGGAGCCAGGAATGATCAGTGAAGTCATTGCAAAGTTATGAAGGCCAAAATTCCCTGTATCATCCTCTGGTTTTAGTCACTTTCAATGCTGTCAGTCTGATTTTTTTGATGAAGAGGGGATAAACAACTCCTGCTGACATGAGTTAGCAAGAGCTCAGTTCCTCCATGCTCTTAACTGGGTTGCCTCGCCTTGAAGGGCTCACTGTCAAGTGTAGTTGCTTTTATCATCTGTCTTCGCAGGATGTCACGCATCCTTAAGATTCCTTATGATCTCTTCTTCAAATTTTAGTGACCCTACAGAGCTAATGACATGTTTAGTTCCCCCATCCAAGCACAACCACATGGATGAGATGATATCAGGAAACTCACTGAAACCATTACATTTCAGGCATGCGGAATTTCCAGAAAGTTCCTGTTTTCAGCATTCAGTTTTAGTCTTCAAATGCAGAAGCATACAGCCTGCTCACATGATGACAGCAGCATAACAGGACAAACTGTCTCCTGCAGACAAAATCATAACTATTTTTAACTTTAGAAAGATCTGCAGATGACTCTTCTTCCACTCAATGTGGTTTTCCTCCCTTCCTTCTAGAGACCCTGCCCTTGGTAACATACAATAATTCTGTGTCAAGGGATATTGATTCCTAACAGTGTCCCAAGCCTGTGATGGCCCTTCCAACCACCCAGAAGCTCTCCTGTATCAGATAGCTGAGATGCTCCTGCTCAGACTTTCTTTTACCTTCATGCTTCAGAAAGTTGCTCCAGAGAGATGGCTGTCCTTCCTCAGCTGCAAGGGAGGGACACAAGTGGGTACCCAGAGGAACAGCCACACCAGGGCAGAGCAGGAGCTGAAGGTACAGCATCAGACAGAGCCAGCAGAATTAGACTCCTCCTGGAAGACCTGCTTACTTGTCCATACACCCAACAGGGAGGAACCCTCACAGCAAACCCCACAGACCCACCCTGAGGGGCTGCAGCATCTCCCAGCTGGGATTTCAGCCAGGAGAGAAGGCTGTGCCCAAAGTACAGCAACTCCTGGAGTGCGTGTAATCTGTGGGGAGGCTAAATGTGAAGGGAGAGGAACGTGTGACTTGATCCTGTGCTATTTCAGTAGATGGTTATACTGGTTGTTTTTTTAAATGCTAAAAGCACAACCAAACCTTGAATGAAAGGAAGCATTGTGTATGGAGCACAGGAAGAATTTCCTTTACTGTAACTCGTAAGGAGAAAAGGAAATAAAAGCAGAGCAGCAGTTAGATGAAGGTCAGATGATTGTATGAATCAGAGGGTGATGCAAGTTATCGAGTGCTCCGCCCAATAAAACAGATGTCACCAAGTACACAAATACCACTTACCTATCACTGCTTACCTCCATGGAAATAGTCTTCCTCAGAGAGAGAGGAATGAGGTTTTTTTAGGAAAATATTTATTAGGTAGGATAGCAGTGATGACATTAAGGCAGACGCAATTTCTTAACATTTTTAGGCATTTCACTCCATGTAGGTGAAAGCTGAGACACAGGCACTGCTCAATCCTAAACACTGAAGAGGTGATAGAGGCTGCTGTTGGGGTATTTCCAGAGCTGTGTCTGGAAATGTATTTGCAATTTCCATTAAAAAGGGAAACACAATGAAATTCCTGCAGTGGCCTGCTTGGCCTATAGGAAGCACACTGACTTCCAGAAAAACCCTGACACCAAAAACAATCTTGCAAGGTAATACAATTGCTGCATATGAAGTGACTCCACAAGTGGAACCAGGAACCTTTGACTTTTCTAGAAAGCTGAGTGGAGCTGCCCTCTAAGTGCCCTTACCTCCCCTGTGTGCATCAGGGACACTCTCAGTGACATACCAGCACATTAAAAGCCATAGGTTGTACCAACAGATATCTCACTACCTTTTTGATAAAAAAGTGACTTACTTTTTTTTTCCAGAGCCTTTGCCAGTGGCAGACATTTTCCATGGCAGTCCATTGCATTGGAATGGTTGGATTTCATTGCTACCAAAATTTGCAAAATTGCCTTTGCAGTAAAAGTGTTTTCTTTTCTATAAACTATTACTGTAGTATTTGTTACTTTGTGAACCATCACTAGGTCTCACGCTAGCAGGGTATTACAAAAGTGCTGTGCTTTTGAAGAAGGTACCAAGAGAAATGGAAGCAGTTTGTGGGTTTGCAGTTAAGGAGACCCTGAGCAGGAACCACCCCACAGTTTTTCCAGTTGTGGTCTAAAGAAGGATGTGCACACACATGGTAAAGAATCTGCAATCAACATTGGCACGAAGAGTATTGCAAGTGAGAAACTGAGAGCAGAGCTCTGCAGCACCTTGGGCCCAGGGTGGGAATCATGAGTAAAGCCGCGTCCTGGGGTCTGGCAAGACTGTGAGTGGAGACAGGTGTCAGGGACACCCCAAACCTGGAGGTGCAGTGATGGTGGTCCAGCAGATGAAGCTGTCAGTAACTTATGCAATACCAATGTAACAGAATGGTTTGGGTTAGAAGGAAACTTTAGAGGTCATCTTCTTCGAGCCCCCTGCCATGGGCAGGGACACCTTTCACTAGACCAGGTTGCTCAAAGCTCCATCCAACCTCACCTTGAACATCTCCAGGAATAGGGCAAGCACAGCTCTTCTGGGCATCTTGTGCCACCCTCACTGCAGAAAACTTCTTTCTGATATCTAACCTAAACTGACCCTCTTTTCATTTAAAACCATTTAGTTTAAACACCATGAGCAAGGAGGGGGTGAGGGTTCTGTTGCAGAGTGTTTCCCTCACTGAGATAATGAGACCACCACATGCTCCAGCAATGCTGCTCTGCTGCCTCTTTAGTTGACAGCCTGAACAGGAAATAGCCAAATCACGCCTAATGAGCTTTCATGCTTTGACTGTAAGTGATGAAAGCAAAGGACAGACACTTCTGATGGAAGACATTTCCTCCAAACCTGCCTCTGTTGTTCGCATCCTGAAAAAGTGGGAATTCACCCCATATTTCTGAGACTAATGACTTGCACTGGACAAACCCTGCATGGGCTCCAGCAGAGCCTGTGATTCCTGCACTGGAAGGATGAGCTGCTGTAGAAGCTTGCGGTCCAACAGGGTCAGCATCTTCTCAGCCAGCCAACCTGGGAAAAAAACCAGACAAGGAGGCGAAGGTCAACCTTAAAATATCTGAAAAGTTGTATTTAGGTTAAGGATTATTCTCCTCTGAAAAATGTGTGTCTGAATTCACAGCTGTGAAGAGCTGCAGTTGCCAGAAGCAATGAGGATTCTCACCAGCCCAAGACAGAGACCTTGATTTTAATACTAAATCAGATCAAGTCTATGGTTCTTTAAAAACTCTGTTTCATGGGAAGGGCCTGCTTTTCACTAACCTATAATTAAAGAAATAGTTTGGAGAGTTAAGCTGTATTTTGAAAAATAAATTCTCCTTCAAGCTGATGGCTTTTACAGCCTAACCAGCCTCGGAACAATGTCATGTGAAATGACAGAGATCAAGACCTTTAGTTAAACTGTATAAGAAAAACAGCTTTGGAGAATAAAGTGCATGATCATTAATTATTGCAGCACAAGGAACACAGCTGTAATTTTTTTGTTTGCCCAGAATATCTCCCACAAATTTTATGAGTCTTATTGTTAATACAAGAAAACAGAAGCCCTTATTCTTTCAGTCTTTTGGTAGTGATCAAAATTAGAAAAGATTTCTAGTTACAGCTGCTATTAATATATCTACTCCTTGAAAATGTGGTAGTTAATTTCTTAGGATTCAGTGCACTCAATAAGCTATTCAAAACTGTAATTGTTCATGGCTGTAATTTTGAAGTAATTATAGAAATAACTATAGAAGAAATGCTGAACACAGTCTTTCCAACACATTGAAGTTCTCCAAAGTGAAAAGCATCCCTGTTAGGAAAATCAAGCACATAATCCCACTGTTGCCCTCTGCCCTAAAGTCACTGTTTATAGACACCTTTGTAGCATAGGGACTTCTTGCCATTGTAACCCCAAAAGCCCCAAATGAGGGTGTTTGCTCAGGAGACATCCCACCAGTGGCCCTGTGTCAGCACTGGATGACCCCAAGGGACTTGATGGGGTCACCCCTGCACAGACTTGGGCTTTGCTTCCAGGTGCCTTCACCACTGCACTCTCTGCTGGCTCCAGGCTGTTCATAAACCACTTTTCTTTTGGTGACATTAGTGAAAATATTCTAGAAATTATTTGATTAGCCAAGAAAACTAAATTAATGAGCCTTTGGGGAGTAAGATGCTCATCTCTCAAGGAAATGTTCTCACACTTCTTCCTCAGCCCAGCTACACACACTTCTGTAAGAAACACTGCCTTCATTTTCAATTGCACTTTAAGGAAAATGTTTTCCATTAAGAACCTAGGACAAACTCCATCTTCAGCTCTCCCACCTGGCCCCAGCACTGCCACCAGTGACACATTCACGTGTCCCAGAGCTGCAACTTCAGCCCATCCTGCTCGTGCAGGAAATAATGACGTGAGCAGCATTGGTTGTGATTGCTCCAGCACAGCAGAGCCACCCACACGTGATCTGCAGGACCCCCCATTCCTCCTGAGGGCTTTTCCATAAGAAAATAGCAGGGTCTGTACAGCCAGTGGAATCAAAGCTCATCTTAAGCAGTTAACAAAGAAGGAAAAACAAGTTCCAGATTAAATAGACACTCTGGTTAGTGCTAGAAACTGAACAACGGGAGCAGGCAAAAGCACAGCAGTCGGAGAGAGTTTCACTCTCTCAGCATTTTAGAAAGCATAGGATAGATGAAAGAAAGCTTCAAACCAAAACCACCAGCACTTAAACAATGTCTTTATGGGCTAAAAGGCAGCGGCCCAGGGATGGCCCTGATCTCCGGCACTGCAGCACCGTAGGGCTCCCCGTGCTGCCCTGTGACTTGGGCCAGAGAAGGGGCTCCCTCCTGTTCAAACAAGGTTCTGTTTTTTTTAAGTGAAAAAGATGCGCTAGAGCAGGACACTTCCATTCTGCCGCCCCTGGCTCGTTCTTCCTTAAGATTTTTCTTGGCCTATAATTTCATTTCTAAGAAGCTTTATCTAGAGAAAAACTGTTACCAAGGGGCCGCGTTGCAGGTCCTTAAGGAAAACACCAAACTGAAAGCACCAAGGTGCAGTGAGAGGTGAACCATGGCAGAAGTCCGCACCAGCGCTCGGCCTGGGCGCTCCTCTCGCGGCCGGGGGCCTGGCCAAAGCTGGGGCATAGGCAGAGCAGCCGTGTCACAAGAAAAAGGCATCTGCTTATCGCCCGTGCTGCTTTGGAAATCTGGGACGCGCCTGCGGCCCAAACACTTCCTCTGGGATGTTGCAATGGGGGCTGCTGGCCGGGCCGGCATGGCTCCTCCGTGCGGCCCGGCGGCACTGAGCACAGCCTGGCTGTACTGCAGGGCTCCGGGATGGAGCTCTGAGGAAACCCGGCCCTGAAACAAAGCGAGTCCTCCGCCCGAGTGCGCCCGGCAGGAAGCAGCCCCGCGGCCGGGCTCGCCCCGCCAACCCCCCGGGCCGGTTGTTTCTCCCGCAGCGCATCGCGGCACTCCCGGTGTGCCGAGGGGATCCGGGGCACGAACTGCCCTGCCCACAGCTCCGGCCGGCGCGGGCATTGCTCAACCCCCGCGGCTCTGGGCAGGGGCGGCGCCCGGCGCTGCCGTTCGGCTGAGGCGCGCTGAGGGAAGGGCAGGGCCGGGCCGCCGCCGTGCCCGCTGAGGGCGGCGGGATGTGCCTCACCGCCACCGCTCCCCAGTGCTTTGGGCAGCCTCTCCTTATCACCGACATCCCAAACCGCCGGACCAGCTGCCTGCTTCACCTGCCTTTACTCCTGCACCTTCTTGTGCCGTAACCACGGGCCACGGGCGTTAGTTCTCTGGGCCCTGCTGCAGCTGGTTCCCTGGAGCTCAGGCACTGATCCCCACCCGCGGAGTGGATGTCTTAAGCTCTAGCTGGGAACAAACAGCTGGAACACACAGAAGTTTAGAAATCAAATTCTGCCGCTGTACGAATATTTTTGGTAATGAAAATAAACAAATACATGGGAGTAACATGCTTCCGCTACTATGCTTCTAGGAGGAGACGAGCTGCCAGAGAGCCTGAGCAAGACCCAAGCGGGTGACATGGAGGTGACGGCTCACATGAAGCTGTTCATTTCCAGAGGCCACACAACTGCCCAGCCTTGCAGGCCAGCAGGTGCTGAGGCAGAAAACGCTGCCCAGCAGCAGTCCCTCGGTGGAAGGAGAATCACAGCACCTCTCCTACACATAAACCCTCACTCCAGCTCTTCCACCAGGCTCCTGTGGGGACCCACAGCCCCGTGGGATGCTCCATGCTGGCACTTTCCATGCCAGCTCTCACTCCTGTTCCTCGACGCTGAGCTGCCTGTCCTGTAATGTCAGTTCCTTCCCAATGACCACAGCAACAGGAAAAGTAACCATCCCTATTTGGGAGAGCTACCAGGCACATTGGGCACAGATGATTTACCTTCCAGCTCCTCTGCCAGAAAACTCTCAAAGCAAAGCAAAGCTGCTGGGGAATCAGGTTCTGCTCCAAAAGCCTAGACAGATCCCATAGGATTTGAACTTGTAGTTTTTTGCCCGTCAAAACAAAAAAGTGCTGCTTCCAGTAAAGAAGCATCTGCAGCCAGCATCAGCAACACTTTCTAAAACCTGAAGCACTGGTGTATTTAGATCTGCCTGTAGCAACAGCAAAGATGATCTTGTACAGGGGGGAGACGAGAAGGCTGCAGGGGTGCTGTGCAAAGCCTGTAACTGCTCCTGTAATACAAAATAAATGAGGGGATGGCTGGAACAGAATGTGCAAGCTGCAGCACATAAACAGAGATGTTCCTTGCAGCACAGAGACTCAGAAGTCACATGTATCTCCATGCTGTCTGCTTACTTTTACCTCCAACTACCAGGCTACTACTTTTTAACAATAAACGTTTAAGAGAGAAGAAAGCAACAGGAGCTCAGCAAAGAGCTGTTAAGAGCTCTGTGCTTCTGTGCAACAAACACATCAAGCTGCTTCCCACCCCTGGATCCAGAAATTGCTCTGTGGTTACTTTACTCTAAGCCACACAGAAAATAATCATATCCTCTTCTGCAGACCCCTGGGAATAATGTGGGAGATGAGAGACGCCATGGTACTCGGGGGCCCGTGGCTTCCTTCCATCTTTGCCTCAGCTAAGTGAATTAGCTTTTGCTTCAGGAAAATTAAGGGAATTACAGAAAAGGAGTAACAATACATTAAAAATATTGGCTAGCAAGTGCTATGTCCCAGTCTAGCTGGAAAGTTAAAAATGAAATCAATTCTGGGCATTAACATCAGCATTTTCTGGATGCTGCAGTGATTACACTGCTGAATTTACTGCTCACATCATCGCTGCCAAACACCCACACAGACACATGACTCCAGCTACTCTTGCCATCCCCGTCAGGAGGACACCTCATGACCATCTACTCTGGTAACACAAAATTCTCTGCCCTCTGTCAGGTGCACTCAGCCCAAGAAGCCCTGCAGGAGGTCTGACAGTGGGCAGTGCACATCTCAGTGCTCCATGGCAGAACTCCCAGCTAAAGCTGAGCATCTCCTGCTGCAGACTCTGCTGGAGCTGCCTGCTCAACTCCTTCAGTGCTGCTGTGGGGCTGCAGGCTCTGCCTGGTGAATCCAGCGTGGAACAGTACACCAGGCCAGCAGTAACCCTCTGTGTTATCAGTGTAAAGGACAAGGGATCCTGTGTTAATTGCTTTTGTTGACTCACCCACACGGAGCACTGAGCCATTGAGGCAGTGTTATTTGGGATGCCAACAGAGAAGGCAGAGCCAGAGCACTTCATCCTGCGCACAGGGAAACCTCATGGTGGTGTTACAGGACCAGTTTAAGCATCCAAGAGTCAGTTGTTGTGGCCTTCAGTCCTCTGAGAGAGGACAAATTCCATTCTTCCAAACACTCCCATCACGGGCATCCTTTTACAGGACTTGGCAGGTGCAAGTGGAAATCCTAGAAGGCTCCTGTGCTGTCTGGCTGTGCTGAATGTGGGACCCACAGTGTTCCCTGCCTGCAGCTGGTCACTGCAAGACAGGGCTTGGGGACACGAACCTCAGCTCGTCCCTCAGCTCATCCTGCACCTCGCATGTGGCAAAGGCACCTGGGCAGGTACCTACCAGGGCAGGAAACCACATAGCATTTACAAAGAAGAAGAAGAAAATAGAAGGTTTTTAAAATAGAAGATGCAGCTGCTTCAGGCAAGGTTTCTGTCTTCTGCTTGTCCTTTTTCCATTCTTTGGAAACACGGAACCTTATTTAACCCAGATGCTTTAAAGCCTCATTTGTACACTCTGCTACATCTTCCTAATTGTTTTTCCTGTTGTGTGATTATTACTTCACTTTTCCTGGCAGCACTGCTATCACAATTTGAGCTTAGATTCAATAAAACTTTATGAAGATTCCTCAATAACTTTCATTCCTGTGCAGCGGCCCAGAGAGACAGAGAAGGGATTGTACTCAGGCAGATGGGCACAAATACAGTGATAAACACAATGGCAAACACCTGTGTGGCAAACTTCCTTGCAGGTCCCTTCAGGAATGAATGTATGAACCAGTGGAAGACAATGGCTTTCTGTTTATGTTTGTTCACCTCACACAAAGTCAAGCATCAGTGCAGAGGATCAGGACCTCCCTCCTACCTCACTACTGCCTTCTGGGGCCAACAACATTAACAGCTGAAGGGACAGCAAGTTCAATTACAAATTCCTGTTTGAAACAATTAATTCCTTATGAGATCCAAAATTCAAATACCTGCAGCACTGCCAAGTGCCAGAAACAATGTCCCAAAAAGGGGAGCTGAGAGAAAACAGGTGTCAAATGTGAGATGGTTCACTCACCCACGGATTCATAGTGCATGTCAAAAAAGGGACACATAAAGTACCAGAACTAAACTGACAACTGATACTGTATTTATTGCACAAATTTCCCCTAAAATTGGGAATGGTTATTATAATACAAGTGCACATCTTGGGAAATATATACAAAAACAGAAGAGATAACAAGTATGTACATTTTACCCAGCATTTTACAAGTACCACCATCTAAATAATTTAGAGAAAGCAAAAAATTGTCATAAAACATCTCTAAGAACTAACAGGGAAAACATATGCAAGGTGTAAAATCTGTTCTTTTAAACAGTTTTTTGTTCTTAGCAGCCCAGTGTTTGCCAATTGCAACAAAATCAAATTTGCTAATTTGTGTGCCTAGTATAATTAGGTTTCAGCCAGAAAATTAAGACATGTTAATAATGGAGATTGGGAGTAGTGGAAAAAACAAATCAAACATTAGTTTTCTATTCACATAAAAGAATAGTGATATACTTTAAAAAGTCAATTCTATATCCTGTAAAAATCCCTTTTCATATTTAACAAACAGACATAAGTACCACATTGTTCATGTACCCAAAAAGTTACCTCACAGGAAAACTTCCCATCACACAAGGGTTTTGGTTGTGTTCTGCCCACAATACTGCTGAGAGGTGGAGAGGGTGCTGCCACGCCAGGAGGGACTGGCACTGTGGGAGGATGACGAGGAAGCTGCATCCGTGGCTGCTCCGTCAGGGACTGACTGAGCACATCATTAATGCCATTACTGGCTGGTGTTGGGCAGAGGGCAGCAGGGCAGGTGCCACTCAACAGCCACCTCCTTCTCCTCTCACTGCAATACTCACTGCAAGTGTGCAAGGGCCTTTCTGGAGAGTCAAACCCATTTCAAAGTGACCCAAACAATTCGTGCAATAAAGGCTCAAATGAGGACCAGTATTCTCCCTTAAGGATCACTATGAGCAGTCCTGGGGGATGCCAGGGGAGGGTGCAGCTGCCCAGCTCTCTGGATGAACTCACCCATGGAACCTCCCAAGGCACAGGCAGTAACCTCCTCTGCCAGCCCCAGCAGCACAGACACGGCCAGGCCACTGCTGCCAGTCTATGTAGAACATGGTATCCCAACTTCTGCCTATACCACACATCCTAGCAAAGAGTTAAACATCCATGTTCTGAGTGCAATCCTATATTTCATTAGAAATGTGTTTACACAACTGGGCCCCTGTTTTGTGCTCATTCCAAAAGATAGATGTAATATAATTGTGTGGCAAGGAAAAGACATTTGAAAAATGGGAGAAACAAATCCTTGGATCACGTATTAAACACGAGGTTTTTCCCTGCAGCAGTCAGCATTAGATTTTATATACAAAAGAGTTTCCAATGACACTGCCTGTATTAATGTTAGGGTCACTTTCTGATGAAGACTCAGTCCTACATGGAAGGGAGGGGTGGGTTTGCCACGTAGATCTCCCTGGAACAGAGTTTTAGGTGACAGATTTTAAGTAGTACTGAAAAAGTACTCCAGGTGAATCCTGGCCCCAGAGAAGGAAGGGAGGAGAGTTCTGTCACTGACAGAAGTGGGGCAGGGATATCTCCTACTGTTTTCAAGTTTATAAAATGGTTAAAAGAGATTTGTACTTAAAGTAACTCTGCAAACAACAATAGCAGGCATGCTGTACTATTGAAAAGATGATTACAGAATGACGTATTTATAGAAATTTCATAGAGTTTAGCGACCAAGTGAATACATGTCTCCTACTTGTGTGGATAATCCATGAATTTCAATATACTAAACCTAACAGATGAAAACAGAAACTAAAAATCAGCAACATTAATTG